TCTTTAAAAAAAAAAAAAAAAAAAACTGGGATGTTAATATGATACAATGTACATGTAAATAGAAAAAAGATATCACCTTTAATCACACTACCCGAAATCATCACTATTATATTGTTATTGCAGATATTTTTTGTATCTTCTTCCTATGAATATGTATAACTTTTAAAAATCAAATTTGTTTCAAACTACATATGGAATTTCTTTGCAACCTGATTTTTTTCACTCATTATACCATAAGTATTTCCCCATGTCTTTGGATTCTTTGAAAAAAAGATGTTAATGTCTTTGTAATATTCTTGCCATAACGTACATGCCATAATGTGCTGTTGGCTCTGTTCACTCTTGGATGACATTTAAGAAGTTTAATAAACAACCTTTTATATATATCCACATAAAAAATCTCTGATTATTTCCTTGGGTTATAGGTTTTGAAGTGGAATGACAGGACTCAAAGGGTGTGAATATTTTTAAATTCTTGATATAGTAATGCCTATTTGTACAGATTTATTTTCAACCTATAGTGTAAACAAACACTCTATATACAAAGATACACATTCAGAGAATCATTCTCAATTTCTCAATAGATGATTAATAAGTATACTTGGATGTCATGACTGGGAAATAATTAAACACAATTTAACTGATCAAATATTTTATTTTTTTATTTTTTTATTTTTTATTAAAGATTTTATTTATTTATTTTTCCCCCAAGGCCCCAGTAGATAGTTGTATGTCGTAGTTGCACATCCATTCTAGTTGCTGTATGTGGGACGCGGCCTCAGCATGGCCGGAGAAGCGGTGTGTCGGTGCTCGCCCGGGATCCGAACCCGGGCCGCCAGCAGCAGAGCGCGCGCACTCAACCGCTAAGCCACGGGGCCGGCCCATGATCAAATATTTTAAAAACAATCTTACACATTTGAGCTTCTACTGACAATTTCATTTATCTATTTATTTTGTATACTTCCAAAAGAATGAGAGTCCACTGAAAAGTTAAAAACGATGTGTAATAGCACACTTAAAAGAAGTAAACAACAGAAGGCATTTCAGATAAACATGGGGCGTAGATGTTAATATGTACTTGAGGTAAGGTAATTGCTGCTCAGCAATGATTTTAGTTCTAAATTGCCTGGCAATTAAGACAAAAGGGAAAACACGTCAGCATTTATTTTAGACATGACGTACTATAATTTTTATCACTAGAATTCCTATTTGAACATAACTTTGAGGTCTTTTCTGGTTTTACATAAGCTGAGCAGGTGTGAAAATGATAAATGCACCTTTCACACAACAGGTTTGGGACTCAAATGATTAAAAAAATTAAAAAAAAATTTTCCTACTAGAAAACGTTACAGTAGAAACAAAATATACCTTGAATTTCATGGAGGAAAGTTTATAGAGGATCTCCCCCATGTGCTCTCGGATGATGGACCACGTGATTTTATTGTCACTCTGAGCAGTGGTTTCCACAGCTCTACGGGCCATATCATAAAACGCAATCATGTTGGACAACATCCCCACTGTCTTGTAGAATGGGCAGAACCTAGGGTAAATGAAAGTCAAAATAATTAACAAAAACAAAATCCAAAGCAGGTTCAGACTTTAAAACTTCATCTATAAAATAGCAGAGCAGTGGCTTCTTTATTTAAATATCCAGACTACTTATATTTATTGGATGATACATAAGGAATGAAAAGACCAATAACTACTTAACAAGAGTTTTTAGACAGAAATGTCTCAGGATATGGGGTGGATGGATAGATGGAGACATGTATTCTTTTATTCATTTTAAGAGTGATGCTTATTTTTATGTTACAATAATCAAACAGGAAGAACAATGAAACAGTATTGCCACAATCTAATGACTCTCTGGGGATTTGTTTTTGTACTAACCAGTTAAAGGAGTAACCCAAACGGTAAAATAAGTGAGTTGTAAAAAATCCCCTATGAGAAATGTAAATCAAAACAACACTAAGATACCACGCCCGTTAGAGTGGCTATAATCACCAAGACAAAAAACAACAAATGTTGGAGAGGATGTGGAGAAACAGGAACCTTCATACACAGGTGGTGGGAATGCAAACTGGTGCAACCTCTATGGAAAACGGTATGGAGATTTCTCAAAGAATTAAAAATAGAGATGCCCTATGATCCAGCCATCCCACTACTGGGAATCTATCCAACGAACCTGAAATCAACAATCCAAAGAGGCTTATGCACCCCTATGTTCATTGCAGCATTATTCACTATAGCCAAGAAGTGGAAACAACCTAAGTGTCCCTTGACGGACAATTGGATCAAGAAAATGTGGTGTATATATATACAGTGGAATACTACTCAGCCATAAAAAAGACAAAATCATCCCATTTGCAACAACATGGATGGGCCTGGAGGGTATTATGTTAAGTGAAATAAGCCAGAAAGAGAAAGACAAACACTGTATGATCTCACTCATATGTGGAATATAAACCAACACATGGACAGAGAAAACTGTATTGTGGTTACCAGAGGCAATGGGGGTGGGGGGTGGGCACAAGGGGTGAAGGGAGACATATATATGGCGATGGACAGACAAAAATGTACAACTCAAAATTTCACAATGTTATAAACTATTAAAACATCAATAAAAAAAAATCCCCTATGAAAGTACGTTAAGGAATAATGAATAACAGCAAAAGCAGGAAACTGCAATTGCCTACAGTTAATAGTGTCTCTTTCCCTGTTGAAGTGTTCATGTACAGTTACCCATACCTTTATTTTTTGTGAGGAAGATCAGCCCTGAGCTAACATCCAATGCCAATCCTCCTCTTTTTTGCCAAGGAAGATTGGCCCTGAGCTAACATCCGTGCTCATCTCCCTCTATTTTATATGGGACGCCGCCACAGCATGGCCTGACAAGCGGTGTGTCGGTGTGCGCCCAGGATCTGAACGCTCAAACCCCGGGCTGCCAAAGCAGAGCGTGCGCACTTAACCACTTACGCCACTGAGCTGGCCCCTACCCAGACCTTTTAATGATGAAGACACACAGGTCAATATTCCACTCGGATCACATGCATTCTCATCAACTTTCCGAAACATTTAAACACACTGGCATACACAATTTCATGCACCCTATTACACTCTTCCCAAAGAATTTTCCCCTTGTTATCTTTGTGTGGGTAGTTGCTAGAGCTTAAATTCTTGATAAGGATTTTTGAGCCTTACTAATTATATTGTCATATTTTCTGCTTGTCCTACATGCTGGTAACCTTTCTACTTGTTCAGTGCCCTCTTCAGTCTTATATGGGGCCAAATATGATTTGAGGGAGAAAAGCTAGCCTGTGATGAAAGGGCTCAAATTATCTAAGTTTAAAAGAAATGGGAACCTTAAAGAAGCCACGGTAGTAGCAGAGACAATAATGAAAAAAAGCAAGCACTGGGCAGGGGCAGCAGAGGTTGGTGGGACGTCTAACAGGGACTTTGGTAGAAAGAATAGGGCTCTTAGGAAACAAGGCAGGAAGGTGGAACATAATTATTTAGGAAGAGAGCAGAAGGCCCTGGCGGTGGTAAGGGGTAGTGCGAAAAGCTTCTGAAGGAGGCAATGACCCCCAGGTTCTGCACACTAAGCCAGAATTAAATCAAATTGAAGATGGTTGGATAATGAGTGAAAATACTGTCACAACTGGAAAAACGAGCAAAATCAAGACAAGAGGAAATATTAGATCGTTAGATGTCTGCTATGAAAATACAAAATAAACCTATATATTGAGTCAGAGTATGTCTGTATGAGGAAAAAAAAAAAGGTTCTTAATGGGTAGGTAGCTCCTTCTTCAAACTCAACAGAAAATCCTCAAAGAAAGAAAGAAAATCAGGTTAGGTTACCTGTCATAAGGAGTATATCCATTTTGTTGTAGGAAATCATCTTTGATAAGTTTTGCTACCTCCAGAGTAATTTTATCTGTTTCTGCTAGAGAAGCCTAGAAGAGAGAAGAATATATTTTTAGAAATTTACTTCCCTAATGTGGGACCGATGGTTGTAATCAATTAGCAGGCAGAAACTATAATCAACACACCATCACCTATCATTAATAAATTCACTTCATAACTGCTTTTTGATTGATGTTCTTTTTCTATTGTGGTAAAAAACATTTCACATAAAATTTCCCATCTTAACCATTTTTAAGTTTAGTTCAGTAGTGTTAAGTATATTCACATTGTTGTGACATAGATTTCCATAACTTTTCATTTTGCAAATCTGAAACTCGATATCCATTAAACAACTCTCCTTTTCCCCCTCTCCCAGCCCCTTGTGACCAACATTCTACTTTCTGTTTCTATGAATTTGTCTACTTTAGATCCCTTATATAAGTGGAGTCATACAGTATTTGTCTTTTTGTGACTGGCTTATTTCACTTAACATAATGCCCTCAAGGTTCATCCATGTTGTAGAATGTGTTAGAATTTTCCTTCCTTCTTAAGGCTGAATAATATTCCATTGTGTGTGCAGGTATATATACATATATATACCACATGTTGTTTATCCATTCATCGATCAAAGGACATTTGGGTTGCTTCTACCTCTTAGCTATTGTGAATAAGTGCTGCTATGACCACGGGTATACAAAAATAGCTTGACGTTCTTTTTTTGAAACACTTTCTTCTTCACATCCTGGCTTGCTATCTTAATTATTTGAATTCTCAGTCTTAAGTTTGTTTCACAAAAATCTATATAGCCCATAAACAGTTAACTTTTTTTTTTTTTTTGTGAGGAAGATCAGCCCTGAGCTAACATCGACACTAATCCTCCTCTTTTTGCTGAGGAAGACCGGCTCTGAGCTATCATCTATTGCCAATCCCCCTCCTTTTTTTTTTTTTCCCCCAAAGCCCCAGTAGATAGTTGTATGGCATAGTTGCACATTCTTCTAGTTGCTGTATGTGGGACGCGGCCTCAGCATGGCCGGAGAAGCAGTGCGTCGGTGAGCACCCAGGATCCGAACCCGGGCCGCCAGCAGCGGAGTGTGTGCACTTAACCGCTAAGCCATGGGGCCGGCCCCCAGTTAACTTTTTTTTAACATTACATGGTGTTTAGAATTGTGCAAATGCAAAGTACAGTAAGCACGTACTTATCTATGTCTGAGTGCTATTTTATTGGTATTGCTGTTACAGAGCTTCACTCTTAAATATCACTGCCTCAAAAGCTTTAACTTTTGCAGTCACCCTATCAGCCTAACAAAGACTTCTTGGGAACTGTGGGAGACGGACAGGCCCAGTGAGCTAACCGGACAGGCCCAGTGAGCTAACCGCAGTCTTGTGTTATCTATGTGCACTAAGCTCCTTAGAGGTAAGGACCAGGTCTTGTTTCTTTCCTTTCTTCTTCTTCTTTAATCCCTTTTATCCCTAATCCTCTCTTCAACCACAGGTAAATATTAAAATGTGTCTTATGTAATCTTTTTATTTGCATAAATTCAAGTGGAATGTGTATTTTATTTTGTACTTGTATTCTTAATTACGCAAAGAAGTCTTACTGTGTCTTTGGTACTTTGTTTTTGCGATCCATCCATGTTGCTGTGTGTCACCTAGTCTGCTGCCTCCAGCTCTCGTGTAGTTCTTTTGCCCCCAGTAAAGGGCACTTAGATTTCCTCTAGCTCCCTACCACCACACATTCGTCCATTTAAGGTCCTGTTTGAGAATTTCTTTTGAAATAAATATCCAGCAACAGAACTGCTAGCTCACAGGGTACACAAGCACGTACCGTCAGGCTACTCTCCACAATGCCAGCACCAGATGACACTCCCCCCAAGACCACACCAGTTCCTCTAGCCCCACAACACTTGGCATTCTCCAGCTTGCTAATATTTGCCATTCTAGCCAGTGTAACATGATATCTCGTTGTTTGAGCATTTCCCCACATGCTTGCTAATCTTTTGTGTTTCCTCTTCTATAACCTGTCTGTTCTTTCCTTTGCCCATATTTCTGTTGGGGTTCTAGTCTTCTTGTTTACTTACAGTTCTTTTGCACATTTCCATCAGTTTTAGACATTGCAAACTTTCTCTCCCAATGAGTCATCTGTTTCGTTACCTTGACCCACGGTAGGCCTTTGCTGAACAAAAAATCCTTACTTTTTAGGTAATCAAAAAACTTTTTTTTGTTTTGTTTTATTGCTTGTGCGTACAGAGGTTTGTTTCAGAAGTCCTTTTTCAACCCTGGATCACAAAGATATTCTCCTAATCATTTGTTTTTTATTAATTTGAAAGTCTTATCTTTCACATTTAAATTGTTAATCTATCTGGAGTTTACTTTTGTATGTGGAATTAGGCAGTGATCCATTTTCATTTTTCTCCAAATAATAAACAGTTTTCCATCACCATTGACTGAAGCAATCCATCCTCCTCTCACTTGAACTGTGGTACCATCTTTGCAATATCAAGGGTCCATATATATACATGAGTCTGTTTCTACTTTGTTCCGCTCATCTATTTGTTATTTCACCAATACCACACTGGTTTTATTACAGTGGTTTTGTATTGATATCCAACAGAAGAAAAGCTCCCTTTTTACTATTCTTTTTTTAAGGCTTCAATCTTTGTGGTATCAAATCAATTTAGAATGATTACGGATTTGCTCAGAAGATTAAACCAGAAATTTGACTGGCATCACGTCAAATTTATAGATTAAAGAGAAGTGGTATCTTTCTAATAAGTTTATCCAAGAGCACGGACTATCTCTCTCTGTTTTCAGATATTCTGTTTCATTTATTAGTTTTAAAATATTTTCCATAGAAGAAATATATATTTTTGGTTAGTTTCTATATTCTAGCTTTTGTTGCTATTGTGGACACCTTATTTTTAATTTTATTTTCTAATTGGTATTGCTAATATAGAGAAATTCTCTTGATTTTTTATGTTTATCTTGAATCTAATCCCTCACCAAACTCTTGTTAGTTCTAATTGTTTCTCTGTTAATTCTATTTTTCTAGTTATATAAGCACATTATCGACAAATGACAACATTGTAATCTCTTTCTTTACAACTTTGCCTTTTTCTTTTCTTACATCACTGGTTAGTTCCTCTGGTATTTGATTGAACACAAGCAGTAATCGTAGGCATTCTTGTCTTAATCCAGATTTTTAAATGGAATACATCAGAAATTTTTTAAGTAAAATGCTTTCCCCAGGCTTTAGTATACTACTTTTAACAAATTAAGGAAGTTCCCTTCTATTCCTTGTTTGTTAAGAGATTTTTAAAAATCATAAATAAGTAATTAACTTCAAATACTTTTTCCATATTGGTTGAGATATTCTTTCTCCATTACAGTAATTACATTGGTGAATTATAATAATAGATTTTCTGTGTTGCACTGTATTTGCATTCCTGAGATAAACTTTACTTGCTCATGATGTATTATTTTATTTTTAATATGCTGCTGGGGTAGGATTTTTATACCTACATTCATAAACAAAATGAGCCTAGAATTTCTTTTTGTATTGTATTTTCTTTGTCTGGTTTTGGAGGTCTTCTGTTTCTAGTTCCTCTTAGAGGGCCACAGTACTCATTTATAAATAATGAGTATTTAATACGTGCAAGCTATCTAATAATATTATCCTTTGTTGGAAAAACACTAAGAGGTGACTTTATAAGATATAATAAAAACAACAGAACCAGACAGAGAACTCTAAGGTTCTGATCGGCACTGCATACTATCTGATAAGTCATTCAATTCTGGCATTTAACTTGGCTAAATTTAATTGCACTATACTCATCTGAAACATCATCAAGATACAGAGAGAAAAATGTAAGTCATTTGTTTAGGGTCATGTAACTAATTACTGAAGGAATTAGAACTAGAACCCAATACTTATGATTCCTAGCCCTGGTGCTCCTGCAAAAATGTATGTTAATAGATCTTACCTCTACCACCTCTAATTTGGTTGGCGATGGGTGTGTTCTATTTAAAGAAATAAAAGTAAATCAAGTGTTTCTTTTTCATCTACAATATAACCGGGACCATGCTAAGTGCTATAAAGGACCAAAAAGAATGCAAAGGCCCTAACAATTTAGTCACTTCTTTTAACTGGCCATTGTGAAGTACAAGTCCCTCCCCTGGAACTTGAGCAAGCTCTATGGCTGCTTTGACCAAAACAATAAGACAGATGCAATGTTATACTAGTTTTGGGGCTCAAGCTTAAGAGGCTGCTGGTTTCCATTTTCTCTCTTAATACTTACTCTGAGAGCCCTGAACTGCCACACGGAGACACTACATAGAGAAAGAAATGCCCAGCCAACCCCTAGCTGTTCTAGCCACGCCAGCGCAGGCACAAGACATGTGAGGGAAGAAATTCTCAGATGACTCCAGCCTCAGCCGCCATATGACTGCAACTGTCTGAGGGGCCCCAGGCAAGATCATCCAACTGAGTCCATCAACCCCCAAACCACGAGCAATAAAGCACTGTTCAAGCCACTAAGTGTCAGAGTGGTTTGTTACTCAACCATAGATATCAAAACAATCATCATCTTTCATCTTCCACAACACAAATAGGTCCTTATCTGCTGGATAAAGGAATAATCTAAAATTCTATTAGTTTGAAAAATATTTAACAAATACTCACTTTACTAGGCAAGAATCTACACATGCGAGGTACTATCTGTCCTTATAACGCTCCAGTGTAACTCACAGATCTGTCCTCTATGTGATTTAACACCTCACCTTTCCCACAAGCTGCACAATTTCCGCCAGGTCTTCTTCTTCCTGCAGAATCTCCTTAGCTTTGGTCCTCAGAGGAACAAACTCGGTAAAGTGTTTGTCATAGTACTCGTCCAAGGCACGCATGTACTTGCTGTAGCTGATCAGCCAGTTGACAGATGGGAAATGCTTACGTTGAGCTAGTTTCTTATCTAAGCCCCAGAACACCTGATTTAAAAATAAAACAAAAAAATTACAATGATTTTTCTTTTTTTTTTTTTT